GGCCACGAACATTGGAGTGGGTGCAATAGTCCTAGGGCCATCGCTCACTGTTAACTCCAAAATGTTGCGCGCTAAAGGCCTTTAAACCGTCATCTATGGGCAGTTTTGCGTACAGTAATCTTTTGCCATTTCCAGAGTGCGCACAACTTTAAGGCTTGCAATGTTTGGTATCTATTTACCAAACACAACCTCATCTCTTATATTTTACCAAAAAATTGCATAATATATAGTGTTTGTGAGCACCAAAATGTATTTGTGTATTTTTTTTCTTAGAAGTATCCATTTGATGACCATTTATGCGAATATCACGCAACACAAAAACATTGTGATTTTTATTCTACAGGGCCTCTCCTTTCAGAAAAATATATCATTGTTTGGTGGATTTTAAAAGGTTTTTTGGCCAAAAATTCAGATTTGAATATGCGCGTGCAAAAATTAAAACAATGCCCCAGTCCCAACAAGGGGTATTATTTCTTCTAGAGATTCACCAATATCGGTTTTTCGGTATCGACTACCGATATTTTTTTTCCGGTACTGGCCGATACCGAGTAACAGTGCCGTGTGCCCTGATTTTCAGGAAGTCGGGCGACAGACCATGTAGTGAAAGAACATCGGCTTCACTTGCCGAGGCTGTCTGGCTTCCTGACCAATAGGAAAGCCGGGCGGCGAGTCATGAAGTGCCGTCCGGTTTCCTGATTGGTCAGGAAACCAGGCTGCCTGGCAAAAAGTGAAGCCAGCTTCCTAGCCGATCTGGAAGCGAGGCGGCACATGATGACTTGCCTCCCGGCTTCCTGATTGGCTAGGAAGTCGGCTTCGCTTGTTTCTAGGCAGCCTGGCTTCCTAACCAATCAGGAAGCCAGGAGATGGGTCATTACGTGCCGCCCAGCTTCCTAATTGGTTAGGACGCCAGGCTGCCTAGCCAATCAGGAAGCTGGGAGGCAGGTCATAGCCCAGTTCTCGGCTTCCTGATTGGAAAGGAAGGCTGTTCCATGCTCTCTCGGCACTGCCGGTCAGAGGAAGATCTCCCGCTGACCGAAAGTTCTGGTATCAGAGGTAAGTAGTACGAGAAGTCACCCATTTATTTGGTATCGGCACCGATACCTATACTAGTATCGGTATTGGTGCATCCCAAATTTCTTCACTACTGAGAGAAAATCAAAATTGTGGCTAGAGGTACACTTTAATCCTACAACAGGCCAACACTGATGCCGATACCTAAAACAGACCAAAGCAATGAATGCAAATTGGTAATTTTACAATGGCTGGAGATAGTAGGTGGCAGAAACACAACACAAAAAAGCAATTTTCATTGACATAGCATTCAATATTGAATATAAAAGGTATATATAAATTATAAAGTATATTTCCTATGGGACAGGATGGGAGCGGAGATATCAGCAGCACAGAATTCTGGGTAATTTGCAATGCATGGTTCGATTCACACGTCCCCACCTGTCCGATGTCATCAGAAGTCCTTGTGGAGCGTTAGTAAAACAAACCATGGAACATCGTACCGGGTTTTCTGTCTTATTTTATGGTGACATTATAGGAAATCACCCTGAGGGTATGCTACGAACAAAAATAAAAAAAATTGCTACGTGGTTGTGCCACTATGGGAATAAAAGAAAATAATGTTTTATCGACTGGAGGTTAAATTGGGCTTCTACAGAGGCGGGGTCATACAATTTTAATGTACCGCCTAACCCGACTTGTGTATATACATCGCAATAGGCATGTATTTGCTGAAAATTTATTTTAATGCATTTACTGGTACAAAAACAGTTCAAAACTGAAAATTGTGCTACAAATTGTATTCAGGGTGCAGATTACCTGTCTGGGGCTCTGATTTTTCATCTCAGTGTTGCTATTGTACCATAAGGCCAATACACTGCTGATAAAACCTGGATGTATGACAGCCTTCTGCTATACAGCAACCCCAACCCCACAATGTCAGTAGCACATCCACTATAGGGACCCCACTGACGGCCCTACAGATCACATTCTCTATAAGGACCCCAGTGACTGCTATACAGATCACATACTCTATAGGGACCCCACTGACTGCTATACAGATCACATACTCTATAGCAGTGGTTCTCAACCTTTTTAGGGCCGGGACACCTTGGTAACATTTGCCAAGTTGTGGTGACCCCCAAAGGTAAAATTTAGGGATGACGCGGCTCCTGCAGCGACATCTGGAGGCGTGGCGGGAGAACTGACACTGCTGCGCTAGACCCACTGACTGCTATAAGATCACATCCTCTACAAGGACCCTAATTACTCTTCTGACTGCCACACAGACCACATCCTCTATAGGAACCCCACTGACTGCTCTACAGATCACACCCTCTATAGGAACCCCACTGACTGCTGTACAGATCACACCCTCTATAGGAACCCCACTGACTGCTGTACAGATCACACCCTCTATAGGAACCCCACTGACTGCTGTACAGATCACACCCTCTTTAGGAACCCCACTGACTGCTGTACAGATCACACCCTCTATAGCATATGTGTCAAAATCAAAGCCCGCGGGCTGCAATTATCTTTGGCCCGCATGATAATATTTAATTATCATTAGATCTGGCCCTGCCTGCCGGCAGCTCTCTCACGCTGCCTGCTGCGATCTTCATGGGACTGAGGAGCCGGAGAGCTGCCGCTGGCCAGAGGACTGCATTACCCAGCAGGCAGCGGCAGAGCGCGACAAGGGAGGTGTGGCCGTGAGGTGAGGTGACTGAGGGGGGTCCCGAGGTCCAGTCCAGGCGACGTGAGGTGCTCCCTGGCGGGAATCAGGATCCAACACAGACGACAGAGAGCCGGGAGAGCTGCAGCCTGCAGGTACTGTGCTGTGACACTGTCAGTCAGTATATCTCTCCCCTTCTTCTCCATCACTTCTTCTGTACTGTAGAAGTCATGGAGAAGAGGGGGAGTGATATACTGAAAGTAGTATCTGTGACACCTGTGTACCTCCTGCCTCCACAGTAGCATGTCATCTAATAGTTTGATCTCTATTATTTAAATTATAGTAAAAAATTATGTGGGGTATGGACTCCATACTGTCCCCATTGAGCATCCCCCCAACATACTTTTTTTTTAGTGTCATTTAAATAATAGAGATAAAACTATGTTTTAAAACATTTCGCAATGAGGAGAGAAAGCTGGGGAAGAATCCACAGAAGCGGGCACCAGATGGAAAAAACTTTTTTGTAAGTACATTTTTTTGTTGTAAATGCTCTGTACTATTTAATGTCTGTTTTTGGCTTTTAATATTTACATTTTTAGGCTATTTCTCAAAGGGAAAGTAAATAAAAAAGTTTTGTTGTTTTATTGTAATTATATATCATGCTTTTTAATAATTAAATGTACAGGCTTTGTTATTATACTGTGTGATTTACTGTATATGCCGCTGTATTATACTGTGTGAACCAGCACGGCCCTCGACTTGGAGCATTTTTTAAATTTTGGCCCACTGTGTATTTGAGTTTGACACCTCTGCTCTATAGGAACCCTGCTGGCTGCCCTACAGATCACATCCTCTATAGTGACCCTGCTGACTGCCCTACAGATCACATACTCTACAGGGACCCCCACTGACTGCTCTACAGATCACCTCCTCTACAGCAGTGGTTCTCAACCTTTCTAGGGCCAGGACCCCTTGGTAACATTTGCCAAGTTGTGGTGACCCCCAACGGTAAAATTTAGGGTTGTCGCGGCTGCTGCAGCGACATCTGGCGGCGTGGCGGGAGAACTGACACTGCTGCGCTAAGAGAGGGCTGAGGAGGACTCTCACCGAGCACAGCAAAAATCACACAGCAACCCACAGGTTGAGAACCACTGTTGTAACAGCTAAAATGGCAAACCATATAACACAAGCCGAGGGTGTCGGCTTTTATTATTAATAATAATGATGATAATCTAATAGCTATCTAATAGTGGGAGACTCCCGGCGACCCCTGGCAAATTGTAATTCGACCCCCGAAGGGGTCCCGACACACAGGTTGAGAACCACTGCTCTACAGGGACCACATCCTCTATCTATAGGGACCCCAATGACTGCCGTACAGATCCAGCCACCTCTATAGGACACGTGAGGGAGCTAAAAAGCAATGCACGTCACGTATGAGGCCCCGTTCACATTGAGCGATTTATCGCGCGATTTTTGTAGCGATATCGCTCATATTTCCGCACTATATCGCTCTATGTAGCTTCACCAATACAATTCAATGTAGCTGTTCACATCTCGTCGCTCAATGTCGCACAATATCGCTCAATATCGCTTGTAGCTCGTCGCTGGTAGCTTGTCGCTTCTACATGACCAGAGCGATTTTGAGCGATATTGCTCCTGATTGCATACAGCCCAATAGGAAGATGTCGCTCAATGTCGCTCGTCGCTCAATGTCGCTCAAAGTCGCGCGATTTGCATGTCGCTCAGTGTGAATGGGGTCTGAAGGAAGCTCCATCGCAGCACAGCAGCTCCCTCGCGGCCATAGCCAGCATCTCATCCCACCTCAAGCTGACACTCCGCGCCGGGCAGCATATTTTGAATAGCTGCTTGGTGAGAGAACTGACAGTGCTGGGCTAGGGGGAGGCTGAGGAGCCTCTCACCTAGAAAAGTGGAAGGCATGTGGTGATCCACTGAACATGTTGTCACGACCCACCAGTTGAGAACCACGGCTCTACAGGGACCCCAATATCTGCCATACAGATCACATCCTCTGTAGGATTCCCAATGACTGCCATACAGATCACATCCTCTGTAGGATTCCCAATGACTGCCATACAGATAACATCCTCTGAAGGAACCCCAATGACTACTATACAGATCACATCTTCTACAGGGGCCCCAATGACTGCCCTTAGCCCTACAGATTACACATCCTCTACAGGGGCCCCAAATTCCCCAATGACTGTCATACATATTACATCCCCTAGGGGCTCCCACTGACACTTGCTTCGCGCTCTGACGTATTTTGTCCGCTCCGGCGCCCCGTCACAGCTGCGCTCTCCGGCGGCCGCCACGTCACACCGGACTCCGGGAAGATGGCGTTCACTCTGTACTCTCTGTTGCAGGCCGCCCTGCTCTGTGTCAATGCCATCGCCGTGCTACACGAGGAGCGATTCCTGAGCAAGAGTGAGAGCCGGGGTTACAGGCGTGTGCTGACAGGGGGAGCGGGGCATGCTGGGACTTGCAGTTCCGCATCAGCTGGCCGGGCCCGGTGTGTCTGCTGGGATACTGAATAGGGCTGCAGTGAGGTATCCGGGGCTGGGAGGAGTCTGAGGGCTGGATAGTATATTTAGAGACCCTGAGAGCAGACACACAGGGACAGCATTGTACTGGAGACACCAATAGCTGTAATTTACACCATATCATCCTGGGGGGCCATAGTGCTTAATAGAGAGCATGATCTATACGGACCACACTGACTGCCATACAGACCACATGCTCTATAGTGACCCTAATGACTGCCATATTGGCCACATCCTCTAATTGAGACCCCACTGACTGCCCTACAGCTCCCATCCTCTAGGACCCCCAATGACTACCATACAGATCACATCCTCTATAGGGACCACACTGACTGCCATACAGGCCGCAATGACTGCCATATTGGCCACATCCTCTAATAGAGACCCCAATGACTGCCTTACAGATCACATCCTCTATATAGGGACCCCAATGACTGCCATACAGCTCACATAGTTTATAGGGACCACAATGACTACCATACAGCTCACATTGTCTATGGGGACCCCACTGATTGTCATACAGACCACATCATCTATATAGACCCCAGTGGCTGCCATACAGACCAGATTGTCTATGGGGACATCAGTGGCAGCCACAGGGGCCACCATGGCAGTCATATAGACCACATTCTCTATAAGGACCCTAATGACTGCCACACATCATCTGTAGAGAGCATAATGACTGTCATACAGGACACATCATCTCTAGAAATCCTAATGAAGACCGTATAGTCCACATCATCCTGACATCCCAGTGACTTGTCTTAGTCCACGTCGTGTCCATTGCTGTGCGCGCTGGTTTGCTGTGACTTGTGTGATTTCCGAATTCTCTCAGGTCTTGGTCACACCAATACGTTGTGTTAATTACGTGTGATTAAAGCTCATCTGCCATAAACCTCCATCAGGCCGGGTCCATGTAGACCACTAGACCATGCCGGTGGTCACATTGACGCCGATTCGGTGTCTGTGCTGTCACCATAGCGCTAAAGTGTAATGCCTATACTTCTCCATCATTGGTCTGTCTGTGTCATGTGTTCATACTCAGTCCTGTACTTTCCTCTCACCATGTTTTGTGTCTCTTCCTTCCTCTGACGCAGTTGGTTGGGGAGCGGACCAGGGAATCGGTGGTTTTGGTGAGGAGCCGGGGGTCAAGTCGCAGATGATGAACCTGGTGCGCTCAGTGCGGACGGTGATGAGAGGTAATTATTCTTCTTCATTTTGTATCATCAGAACGAATGTATATGTAAAGATATTGACACTTAAAGTGGAACTCTAGCTTCAACCTTTTTCAGGTTTTAGATGGAGCGGGGAAAGGTTAGAACCTCTAATGTTCTGTCCTGGTAGCTAGGGATGGACCGAAATTTTTACATTTTGTCAGGCCCAAACTGAGAGCAACTTTTTTTTCCCCATAATTTAGGACATTTTTTAAAATTATTTTGGAATTTTTTTTAATTATTATTTTTTGTTTTTACTGCCGGGGGCTCTGGGAAATATGAGGGTCTAAACAGATCCTTGATATCTCCACCATCTCTTTTTCTGCAGACCCTGTTATGAATGAATAGGAAGCCTCTATACTGAGTGTTCCTGTTCATTCATAAACTGTGATAGAGTTACTATGTCCACAATCATGAATGAACAGGAAGTGATGTAGAGCACTTCTTGTTCATTCATAATTGGAGACACAGCAATCACACTGAAGGGAATTGATCAAAACTGGAGCAGACAAAATCTGGAGCAGCTGTGCAAGGCAACCAATCGGCTTCTCTTTCATTTTCAAATCTTAACTGAACAAACTGGAGAAGCTGATTGGTTGCTGTGCACAGCTGCTCCAGATTTTGTCTGCTCCAGTTCTGATAAATTCCCCCCACTATGTCTTCAGTTATCTAGAAACACTCTGATCGCTGAGCTCTTGTACTCCGTTCTTCATCCTGACTCCTCCTCCTCCTGTCACAGGAGCTTGAGCTCTCCTCCGCATCGCCCTCCTGTGACAGCTCTCTCCTCCCCCAAGAGGTTTCCACCGCACTCCTTACTGGTATGTCCCTTTTGAAAGTGGGTGCTGCAGTGATAGTAGATGGCGCCACTTTAAATCCAAATAGTAAAGTATATCCCCAGCACACCAAAGTAAAATCTTCAACGAGTGGTCAATTTATTGATGTACACGCATCTCGTCATAAAGCAACGTTCCGGGGCCACTCAGGGTCACTTCATCAGGCATCAGCTCTCTCCTCCCCGTCCCTCCCTGCTCAGCTTCTCTTCCTGCTGGGTGCCGGTCTGTGTCCCCTCAGATCCCCGCTACCTCTGCCAACACAGGCAGGGGAAACCAGCGGGCAACGGAGGGGACTCAGACCAGCACCCAGCGGAGAGGAGAGAAGCTCGGCATGCACGGCATTTGCAGTTGTTTTGCTACTATCAGCATTTTGCCAATAGTATCATTTTCGGCTGAAATTTTGGTGCAACCCTACCGGTAACAATGGAGAGTGAGGGCAAATCAAACATTGTGATCTACAGTATCACAGGAGCGAGCTTGGAGCGGTGACTACTTTACAACACACACAGGGACCATGGGGAACAAGAGTAGCCCCCCTCCAGAAGGAAGGACAGTGTCAGCACCAATTCAGAGATGATTGGAGGATCTACAGCCGAGTGATACACAAATAAGATACATTGTTGTTAATAGTTATTGGTTATTAAACCCTCTGCATGTTTTTGCATATATCTAGGGCTAGCAAGCAGTAGAAATATGCAAAACCTTTTCAAAGGGTTAATACTTACCTGTGTCTCCGCCGCGCGCTCCCATCCAAACATCTGAAAATTTCTCGGGCGGCCACAAAGCATCTTGGGGCGGGCGCATGCGCAGTTCAGATGTTTGAGAGACGCAAGGTAAGTATATGGAACAGCGTGCACCTGCACAGACTCCGTGGGACGCTAGAGGAGTCGGCGCTGCATCAGAGACCCGCACCAGCGCTAGAGGGACAGCTGAAAAGGACAGGAAAGAAGATGATCGGATTAAGAGACATCATTTAAGGTAAGTCCTTACATTAGCACTGTGGGGGAGGGGGTGGACTTTTGACTGTAATGTATTTTTGAGATTTACCTCCTGTGTTTAGTGTCACTTTAATGTTCTCTCTGATTTATAGTTCTAGCAGTGTAAAGGGATTACTATTTTTTCCTTTGGTGTATAAGAATCCTCAACATTGACAGGAAGTGTCCTCTCATTATATATTCGGGGGTTCTGGCAAATAATTATGAAAATGAATCCACTTAGCATATTAAATATTAAATGACCTTTTTAAGCAAAGATGGTAAGAAAAAAAACGAGATGGTAATGTACATTGTTTAATGAGAAAAACATTCAGCATTTAATGAGAAGGCGGATGTCATTATCATCTGTTGTAATTGGTAACATCTAGCCACCCCCTAAATTGGATCATCTAATTGCTGTATTAAAAAGCTATTATAATTTACCATTCAAGAAAATGAATTTTAGATTTATGTGTATGTAGTACTATATAAATAGACTGTACAGTATATTGTCCATATAGGTTTTTGTGAAGTAGATGTTGGGAGTGATGGGAACATTACTGACTGAAAGACACTCCATAGTAGACAATGACATGACGGGGTTGGCTGTATATGTCAGTGGATGTCTTATTATTGACATACAGGACGGGCGCTCTGGATGAACCGTCACTCCCCGCAGTGGTGATATTCTTCATTATTGGCAGGGCTCAAATCGCAGAAACAGAGAGGACTTGATGTGTCTGGGTCTCTTCGGTGCAGGTCTCTCTCGACATCTGCTGTGTAACCCCCACGCATGGGCCATGTCTGCATCTACAAAGCAACTTTTCTCTGTTAGAGTTTAAAAGAGAACTATGGGCAAAAAATGTTTTGCCGTTTGTTCTCTTTTGTGTCACGGGAGGACATTTAAGCCCCTTTCACACAAGCGTTTAGGTTGTCGGATTTCCAACCCACCGTTTGCAGATAGAATATGAGCTACAATGCATCTCTATGGCAGTGCGGATGGTCATCAGTTTACATCAGGAAACCTCAGTGTCAGTTGAGGTCCGCAATTTGAGACGGATCATCTCTCCGTTTTGACTGACCGGGACCAGTGTAACCTGATGGTCAGTTGACATCCGTTTTTTGTTTTTTTTCCATAACGTTTGCAACCTGTGACCCACGAAGGGGTATACAAGGGTTGTACCTGGCATCCATTTTGTTATAAGAGCAAGCATTGCAAGACATGCATCTCATGAGGTGCTCATAAACCTCCTCCATGAACCACCAGGCCTGTGGGTTACCTCCTGCAGGGAGTACAGTGACCGGATCTAAAAGGACAAACTTTGGTAAGTGTTCCAGGCTGCCACAAATAACTGGTCATCCCTGAATGAGGGGCGGGGGGAGGTGTTCTGCACTGTTAGCTCACTACAGGACGTTAGGCGCTCACTGGATTTCTCGCAGGATTACCAGGTTTTTGCAGCACTAGTAAAGAGACAAAACATGGGAAAATGTGCATATGTTTATTTTTTATTATACACAGACATACACTATGACCTAGAGCAGCGGTGGCAAACCTGTGGCACGTGTGCCAGAACGGGCACGCGGGGCTGTTTCTGCTGGCACGCGAGCCCAGGTCCGCCGTACCACTTCAAAGTTCACTGATGGGCACGCTGGCGCAGAAAAGAGCTAAGACGCTGTCATCTGCTGCCGCGCAAGCGCACGGAGGACAAGACGAGGAGCTGCGCAGGTGCAGTGACATCAACGACTGACAAGGTATGTGAGGCGCACGAGTCTCTAGCATTGGCGCCAGTACCTCAGACATAGGAGAGCATATTAGACGGCCGATCACTGGGGCCTCTCAGGGCCCTAGCCAGCAGCGAACGGCCGTCTAATTAGAAAGCTGGATCTGCCCTTAGGAGCCGCATAACCTGCTATGTGATGCAGAAGAGGTGAATTCCCCTGTGCTGGTAGCACACTGTGGAGTCTGACAGCTGCTCATAAGCACAGTGCAGTGGTCCAAAATTCCCTCCTGCACAGTTCTCCAATCAACAACGTTGCTTAGGGAACATGAGTTGATTTGAGCAGCTTGCAGGTGGGCATTGCACCGCTGCAGAACCCGGGACCCTTTGTTGTGTGTAAGAGCAGCTGTCTGACTCTCCAACACGCTCCTGGCACTGGGTGTTTTAGCTGCAGCACAAGTGAATAAAAAAGAACTAAAATGAGAGCAAATTTGTGTATATGCGGCATAACTGCATGAAATATAAAATGTTAAATTCTAGAAAAGCTTGGTTTAAACCAGCTTGTTGATCACCTTGTTTACACCTTGTTCATTTAGTAAACTCAATAGACAGTTGTTTACTTAAATGACATGAGGACAGCCTTGTGATTGGAGTAAAACTGGTTTAACCGCATACAAAAATGTCTACCATAAGAGCTGTGACGATAATCTCAATGGAGAATTTGTCTCTATGCTGGAAAAGATGGAACCATGCTATGTAGCACGGGTCACTAAATGGTGGACCATGGGCCGAATGGCGGTTCTGTCCGGTCCGCAGTCCGACCCACACTGGCTGTACAGCCACCTAGATCACGGGTCACTAAATGGTGGAATCCTTTTTTTTGTCTTTGCAGTTCCGCTGATAATTGTGAACTCGGTATCGATCGTGCTACTTCTGTTGTTCGGTTAAAGGTATACCGAGTAGAAATGAGGGAAGCACATGACCAAAAGACCAACTGGACCGGATGAACGTTTACTATGTATGAAGACTGAGAAGAGACACCACAC